TCATAGTGAATTTGCTCCAGTGGAAAAACGTGTCTGGTGCAAGATCATAAAATAATGTCTCTGCTACTACAGCAGCCATCTGTTCAAGAGCCAGTTGCTCTGCATTGCCCCCAAATTGCTGAACTTGAATGAACTATAACATTGTGTAAGATGAAGATAAATAAACTGAAACAAAGTTAATTATGAACTAAGACTTTCAGACTAGGCTAATGACAGAAGTATGAAAGTCTAATTTTAAATTATTACTTAGACTGAAGAAACGATGGGCAGGGAAAGGACATGTTGGAGGAACCTAGAGAAAGGTGTAAAAGGTCATAAGAAGTTAATGTGACTTTATTTCACTATACCTACTGTATATATTCGAAATCATATGTTCTATTGAAGGATATTATATCAACATCAGTGCCTTACAATTAAAAATAGTAATAGTATTGATTCAATTCCAATTATTGGTTGTCTTAAATTAAAAGCCTTCCTTTCTCTTCCAAGACTTTTCCAAATGTCACATGGCAATAGTCTTCAATAGGATATTCCATCAATATACATAGAAGTTAGGTTCAACACACAGAGTAAATCCTAAGTGCAGTTTGTCTTGGTTTAGTGTGTGTGTGTTTGTGTGTTTGTGTGTATGTACCCACCCATGTTTCAACACAATTTGAGAAAACATTAAGAATATCTTGGAACACTGTGTGAACCCTGCCACAGTTGTTTCAGATTATTTATCTGCAAAAAGTTAAAAGGCAGCCAAATATTCAGTTCACTGGAAATGAATGTGTTCTTGTATAGTACAGGTAGTCCTTGACTTATGCCCCCAGTGAATCACACCCAATTTTATGACCTTTTTTGCATGATTGTTAAGCAAAAAAACACACGGCCATTAAGTGAATCCAGTTTTTCCCCATTTGACTTTGTCAGAAGCCAGTTGGAAAGGTTACAAATGGCAATCACATGACCCCAGGACACTGCAACTATCATAAATACATGCTGATTGCTGAGTGCCCATTTTTTTGTCATGTGACTATGAAGGTACTGCAACCGTCATAAGTGCAAAGAGTGGTCATAAGCAAGTGCTGCTGAATGGTTACTAAATGAATGGTTATAATTCAAAGATTACCTTTACATACCGGTAGCTAAGCACTAGGGTTTCAAAGGAGAAGAAAGAGCAAAACAGAGATTGTAAAAGTCAAATTTAATTATCCAGTGTTTTAATAACACTGCCGAATAAAGTTTCTTGTGTTTTCTCTTTTATGGCCATTTGTATTCTAATGAAGAACTCTGAGCAATAAGGACATGAGGAAATACAGCTATGGTTAAATACATGCCAAATGTTAAGTGAATTAAAGGAATTAAAAGAACCATCACATACTGCAGAAGCATCCCCCAGTTTGTCTTGTGGTGCCTGTGTGTGGATGCACAGGGAGCCACTTCACTTTACATATATAGAGACAGCCAGGAGCAACTTCTGCATGAACCTTCAAAAAGATGTGATTTGAAATGAGGTGCTTCTACATTTCCAAGAATTTTCATAGGCATACTAAAACAAAATATTGATTATTTTTAGGTTTTAATATTTTTTCCACAGCATCAGTTAACTCCATGAAATAAAACAATGAATGCCAGTTTTTCAGACACTCATCCCTATTAGGTGGGTATTTTCCCCTCTGGCTCTAAGCCTAAAAGCTATTGCTATTAGCTGCTTTAAGCAATCATTATTTCACTAGCTGTGATGAGCCTGCGCATTGCCTAATTGTACATTGCCTAACTGTACATTACCTAATTGTTATTCTCTGAATCTAGAAGCTTACATGTAATGAGACAGGTGAGACAGGGACAAGTTCATCTTCTGCCTCATTTCCATTTTGAACCTTTCTGCATGTCCAGAATTAAGAAAACTCTTCAGGAAGAAACAAAAATTACAGCATAAAAAAATGGCAGAATAAATTATTGATTCTTTCTATGCCTCCTTTCCAGTAGTACATCTACAACCATTACAAGTAATAGGAGGAAAATAAAACATCTAATTTATGTCCTTAATTGGGGATGCTGATGAAAATCTGGGCAGAATTTGAATCCATGGCATTCCAGCATGTCCCATCACGCATTAATCCAGCTTTTTATTTTTCCCTCTTTCGGGTGTTAGGCTTTACCTCTCTTAAGATTGTTTCTGAGAATAGGTTGTTTCTGAGAATAATTGCATAATTTGTTTTTAAAAAAACCTAAAAATATACAAATCTGTTTATATAAAAAGAGTGGAGCTTAATCACAGCTCCCAAAGGAGCATTTTTCATAGCCTAAGAATGGAACCGGAGACGCCCATCTGCCTGCATTTGGTGGTCTCCTTCCAATAACTAGACTCACTGGAATTTTCCAAAAACCAACATTCCCCTGTGGAGTCCTTGGTTGTCTTTGAATTTGATTGTTTGTTTACAGGTATTTCATTACCCAGCTAGGTAACATCATCAGTGCAAATGAGTATGGGATTTCCTCCCTGTTCATTTGTAGTACCTAGTATACACCCTGAGCTACATGCAGTATATTCTCTTCTATTAGAACCAATCATCTCATTCTTTTTATACATTTCACATAGCCTTGTTTCCATTGTTCTAGCAGCAATCAGATATGTCAAAGGATAATTTTCAAAAGAGAGTGAAAGATAATAAGCCATCAAACATAAAGCAAATAATAATAATCATCATCAGATTACCACTTTTCCCATGTAATTTTCATCACTATTTCATCAGAACTGATAGCTGCATGGCATTCGTCCCAGTATTGTTCCAAGACCAAAGTCCACTGAATCCTCTCAACTATGGCTTAGTAAGCAAGGATAATATATAATTATACATAAAAAATAAGTGTGAGAGAACTAGCTCAACAACTTAACAGAAAGATGGTTCCTCTTCTCCCACCAGCAAAAGCTGATGGTGCTACAACTTGTCTCTTACAATTTGTACTATATGTTTGAGGAAGCAGTAAGTTGTTTAAGATGTTCTGTTGGCTCTGTCTTCCATAGAAGAAAAATGGTCTAAAAGTTTCAAGTATACTAACAGAGTACAACAGCTACTAGATGAAGAGTACAAAAATGTCCTGCCAGTTTTCCTTCTGTGGTCATCACAAGATTGGCAGAGCCAAAATTTGGAATCAGTGTTGGCTCTTATGGGATGGAAGGAATATCACAGGACAAAATGGTTGCCTAAAGCATTGCAGACAGGTAAGGCACCATTTCGTCCTTTATACCTGTTGCTATTTCTCTCAAAATGGGCCACAACCCAAACCATTATTGAATGGGACTTTGGCATCTTTATCAAAGCCTAACTGATATAAGCTGTATGCTGTAATGTAAAGGCATTGGCTGCCTCTTATTTAGTGAGAAAAACTGCCATGTCATAAAGTAACTATTGCAAGTGTACAAAAAAGGATAGAGAGCCAAGGAAATACATGTTACTACAATAAAAGTGGAAGGAGTTAAATGGTCTGCAAAATCAAGAGCCACCAAGTAGATGTGGTTGCTATGCCAAACACATTCATATATTAGTCACTGCAATCATCTGTTCTCTACACGCATGCACATATTTGAAAGTATGAGCTTGCACAATAATATGCTTCATTAAGCTTTTAACTGTATACCACCAATGAATGTGGAACATATAATTACATTTCTTGTTAAATGAGCATCTAATTAGACTAGAGTTGTTGGCATCTAATGATATATAGAGCCAGATGGCTACAGTATCAAAGCTTGGAAGCTTTGTTTGATACTGCTTAGCTAATAGTTAAACAAATATTGACTTTGCTAGTAGAACCAAAAATTAGAATAGGTGAAATAGTGGGGAAAAAATGCACCTGAAACACTTTCTTCAGGCTTTCATACAATAAAGTAATATTAAACATGATGTTAATGTAATATCTTAGATTAGAGCATTCTGAACAAGAGGATCAGCACTGAAGACTGTCCTGAAATATCTAGTCATTTATTTTTCTATCGTCTCAACATTTTTATAGTTCTTTATTTTCCAGTGCAAATGGTGCAAGTTCTCAACACTCCCCATATTAATTTATTCTTCACCCTATACACACCCATCATGATGTTTTCTAGGAAATGAGCGCAGATGACTTTGTAATTTGACTGAATATATTCCTGTTAAGTATTTACATGGATATAAAATCACAATTTAAAAAAGACACCCAAAGATGACAAGTCTTTCTTTATATATAGTCATAACCACAGAATTTCTCTTTTATATTGACAAATAATGAATCAGCTGTGGTTATGACAGAACAGCAGTATTTATTATTTATTTCTATCATATTTTCTTGCCCTGCTTGCTAATTGCCAGCACTGAAAACACTTGTGACCCTTTCAAATAAACAAACAAAGCGGGGAGGGCAGAGTATTGGGATGCATATCTCTAAGTCTATCAGGTTCTCTTTATAGTTGGCATAATTTGCGCACCTTCCTAAAGTGCCATTTAGAGACGGGAAGAGATTTTAACTTATGGGAGACCACCCGCTTTCTATCAACAAAATCTCTCTATCTTCTCATTCCTATGTCTGTTCTGTTTCGGCTGATCATTTGCAGGGATTCTGAGCAACCCGAAAACGAGCTCCCTGCTTAGAAAATGGATCGAATTAAACCCAATTTCACATCCCCCACTTTCTTCTCAGGTGTTACGTAAGTTATGTGAATCACGACAACCACCCGCTCTTCCGCCTTCTTTTTCTTCGCGTTTCTACAACCGCCGGGATTTTCATGCCAACGGGGATGGGGGGAGGGTGTTAAAATATCGCTTCCAAAGCCCTGTCCTCAAACTTCTCCCTCCGTCCCAAGCTCTGTTCCCAGCCGAAGTGCCACCTTTCCTCCTTCGTAGCCCCTCGGCTCCACGCTGGAACCCTCACCGCCCCGAGCGCATCCTCACCGCCCCGAGCGCATCCCCCCAGTGCCAGAGAAGGCAGCGAGCCGGGAGCCCCCGCGCTGCCCTTCTCTCCTTTCCCAGGCTCACCTTCCCGCTCTCCTCTACACCCAACAGGTGGCCTTGCAGGATGACCATGGGCGAGGCGCAGGTGGAGTGGATGAAGGTCCCTTTGAAAATGTGCGCGAGCGGAGCGGCCCGCGGGGGGTCCATGGCGCGCGCCTCTTGGCGGGACGGGAGCAGGCGGCCGACGGGGGGTGTAAAAAGGCGGGGAAAGGAGAACGGTGGAGCCCGCCGTTGAGAACGGAGGCTGCGATTGCGGGAGCTCCCAGCAGTTGGTCCCGGCGTGTCAGGAGCAGCGCCCACAGCGCTGTCACCATCTCTCCTCCCCTATTTAAGGACTCTCCTCTTTAGGGGTGTGATTACAACCAATTCGGGTTACTCCCTCAGCCCCATCCCGGGGGGGGGGGTTTCTTTTGGCCCGCCTGTCGCCTTCTCCTCAGCCCGCCGTGAGGGCAGCCAAAGTGCGACCGGCTGGGAGAAATTGATACAAAACAATCAAGACTCATCCTGGAAAGGAGCTGGAAGCGGGCAAGCGCAACCGCCCGCAGCACGTCCTTGCCCAGAAGGTGAAGAGAAGGTTGATGGCCAAAATTAGATTCCAAACAAAATACTCTGATTAGAGTAATAATCCTAGTAATAATCTAATAAAAGTATCCTGACTGGGTAGCTAGCAGGCTATATCTTACTTCTGAGCTGATGAAGTCTAACAAGACACGTTGGCTTGCAAGGCAATTTCTAGAGCAGCGTTTCTGAACCTTGGCAATTTTAAGATATGTGGACTTTAGATCCGAGAATTCCCTAGCCAGCCACACTAGGAATTTTGGGAGTTGGTCCACACCTTAAAGTTGCCAAGATTGGAAAACACTGTTATAGATCAGTTGAAGTCCACACATCTTAAAGTTGGCAAGGTTGAAAAACCCTAACTCTAGCAAATAGTTTTCAAGGGCTGAGAAATCTTTGAAAATCCCTGATTTAATCCACACTTTACTAAAAATATTGTGAGAAGCCCTCAATTGATCAAAACCAAGGTGAGTATTAGGTTTAATATTTGTGGACCCATTTAATGATGGCCAGAAGATGTGACTTGGAATTAGAAAGGAATAAATTATGAAAAGATAAATTAGATGAAAGAAAGAATTGAATGATACATAGTTAGTCTAAAATATATTTCAGAAAACAATGTCATCTAGGAAGTTGTACCAGATGTACAGTATACAAACAGGAATTTATAGTTTGGACACGTACTACATTCCAGTCAGTGGTAGTATTAGAACAACTGGTTGGGGTGGGGGATATGCAACATTAAGACTTAATTAATGATTCATCTTTAAAAAGATTCTGTTGGGTAACATGAATATATGTGTGAGAATAATATGAGAGACAGCTATTTTGTCATTTGGACATCCAAATTATTAGTGGTGATGATTAGTGAGCATCAGCTTAGAAAACTTTTGTTTGGATTGTATGATTTAGACATGTTTGTGCCCATATGGGTCAGATCCACACTTTCTGCTTTACCCCACCTCCAATATGAGTACAGTGATGAATGACATCATATTCAGCTGGCTCCCAGCCCATCACCCGTCAATCATAATTTTGACATTCATCTTCGAAAGCACTGAGCCATCTCAAGCCCATCTGAGTAGCTGTTCTTCCATTCCAATCTAATGACATCCCAGATCCAGTGCCCAGTATACCCAGGCCCGCCAATGGCTGGCTGCTGCTCTGTATTTCATTCTACTATATTTTACCTGATTAGTAACTTTATTTCTTTTTCTTCCAACTGACCCATTCTAGTGACCCATTCACTGGGTCCAAGTGAGATGTACTGTATTTGTTATTGCATTTTCTCCACCTTTGTTCCATTTTTAGACTTGCTGATGAGTAACCTTTTGGACAGCATGAATGAAGCATAGTTTTCCTTCTTCCCCATCTTGTGTCCACTGTACTACTATAAAGGTAGTAATATACAGGTACATACACAGGTACTAATTAAGCTACCAATTAAGCTATAACATTGCAATCAATGTAGCTTCTCTGTTTCTGTCAACTGAAATCATCAGTTCTCCATTGCTGCGAAGTTTCTGTGGACCTAGGAAAGAACAGCATATTCCTTTTGAATTAATTTTTGTTGCAACAAAGCAATGATGATACAAAACTGTATTACCTCTGGTACATAAGCTGCACTGGGTTCTGGTTTCCTTCTAGATACAAGTAAATACTTTTAAAGTCCTTTATGATAAAAAACCATGGTATCTGTCGGACGTCTTTCCCTAAGGACATCTATCCATCCCTGGAGGGATGGTGGCACAATGGCTAGAATACACTATTGCAGGCAAACTTTGCCCACAGCCTGGAGTTCGATCCTGAGGTTCAAGATTCAATCCTGAGGCTCAAGGTTGATTCAGCCTTCCATCCCTCCAAGGTCGGTAAAACGAGGACCCAGATTGTTGGGGAAAATATACTGGCACTGTAAACCACTCAGAGAATGCTGTAAAGCTCTATGAAGCAGTATATGTTTAAATGCTATTGCTATCCTACCAGGTTAGATAGAGTGGGCGTACTCTTAGTCCCTTCCCTTAAGCATTGCTACCTTAGGGAAACCAGGAAACATGCCTTTCCTTTGTCCTGTGGAATCCTCTTTTCCCAGACATTTGGCACACCCCTACCATCCTAGCCTTCTGAAAAGCAGTGAGTTGACTGCATGTCAAAAGCTCGATTTAGCACTGAATTTTTATTTTTAATGTGTTTGGTGTTTAAGCACACACTGCTTTTATTGACTTTATTAGCTTTCAATCTAAGTGCTGGTTTTGACAATTCTTCACTTTTTGGAGTATTGGTTACCTTACTGGTGATACAACACTTCATGAAATAACACATTTCCCTTGATTTTACTAAATGTAATTAGCTGATTGCCTATGTAGGTAGAACAGAGCTGATCTTCACTGCTTTTTAAAAAGTTAAGTGGAATTGTTCTACAATTACATAGATTTTAGGGTGTGTCAAATTTTTCAACTTTCCATTTCCAAACATTAGGGGTGCTCAAAAGTTGTGACATGCCTTGGGGATTGTAAAGATATTTTGGTTACTTTAATATAATTTAGATATTCTTGGTAAGTAACTGTATAAATATCATAACTTTTTAACATTTTGTTTGTTTCATAGATATGTACTTTAACTCACTAGAAGCTAAAGTGCAATTTGGAAAACTCTTTACTTTTACATAAAACTACAGAGACACATGTCCATGTGAGTATTTGGTTTAATTTGGGGAAAGAACTAGGACCATGTTATGGCGAACCTACGGCACGCATGCCACAGGTGGCACGCGGAGCCCTCTCTGCGGGCACGCGAGCCGTTGCCCCAGCTCAGCTCCACCATATATGCGCACATGCCTCTCGCCGGCCAGCTGATTTTTGGGTCTCTGCTGCACATGTGTGAGGAGCAAGGTGCATGTGGGAGACATGCGTGCCTGCTTAGGGGCAGGGGTTGCGCATGCATGTGCAGGGAAAGGGAGATGCACGGGAGTGCAGCGCTCCCCCACGGCCCATTTTGTACTCTAGGAAGCTTCAGGGAGACCTGCTAGGCCCAAACCAGGGTGGGGAGAGCGCAGTGGGGTGAATTGTACACTTTCGGCACCCGACAACAAAAAGGTTAGCCATCAGTGAACTAGGATTTTGAATAATAAGTGGTGCTCAAGATTTATTGGCCACTTTTCCTAGAATAAAAAACTATCAGGAATATGTTGGATAATCGAAAAATTATCTAGAAACGAAGTCATTTGAGGACGTGGTATGGATTATTTTTTCTTTTGTTCAATCATGTCTAATTCTCAAAGACTTTCTGGACAAGTCTCTGCAGATTTCCTGATAAGGTTTTTCAGGTTTGCCATTGCCTCTTTCCTAAGGCTGAGAGAAAAAGAGTGGCCCAAGATCACCTACAAGTCTGGAACTTGTAGGACTGGAACTCATAGTCTCTTGGTTTCTAACCTGATGCCTAAACCACTACACCACACTGGCTCCCTCGTGGTGTGGATATAACAGGTTAAAACAGACCTTTCTTTAGTTATTTTTTGAAATATGCTGCTATAACACATTATTTACTGAGATATGGTTCTGGGTTTATAATGGGTTGTTAATACTTTAACAAGAACACCATAATCCTAAACAATGGTTTTCATTGTAGGTATTCCTATGCATGTGACAATTTAAATGAAAAGGATATCCTTAGTTTTAATAACTAACGTCTGCGGATTATAGACTGGCTGGCTCCTATGATATTGCATAAGTTCCAAAGAGTGTAGGCTAGCTGGCTCTCTGTCAAATGCATTCTGAGCCCTATTATCTTCTGTAAAATATATCTGAACCTGGTTCAAAGTTTTCAGTTTTGCCCTGTAATGAGATTGATAAATTAAGAAGGTTGTAAAAACTGTTATGGCGTGATTTTTATGTGTTATATCTGATGTTTGAAATACTAGTACAGGTTTCCATCATTGATTACATTACCAAGAAGCAGGTTGCCGGTTTGATTATAAGCCCAAGGCCGCCAGTAAGGCTTTATCTATGAATAAAAACTTTAAATTGACCAGTGGAGAGGTCTGTTGGCAAAGCAATCTACTCCTGAAAAATTTCAAAATAAATTTGTTTCTCTCTTTTTTCCACTTTAGAATAAGAATAAGAATACTTTATTGTCATTGTACGTTGTACGTATATAGACAGTATACCCATACTGTCTAAATTCACATAAGGGGTCAGAGACCAGGCCCAACACACATGACAATATCCCCCACACATACCAAAAATTCCCCTCCCCTAAACGACCCAAGTATTTACATAGCAGACCAAGTAATGCTGTCCAACTGCTCGCTGATGGTGGCCCTTTAGTTCATTGTTGAGTGCAATTATAGCTCTGGGATAAAAACTATTCAGAAG